CACCGGCGGGACACCGGCGGGACACCGCGGGGCACCGGTTGCCGGAACGGAGACTTTTGGTCCGGCCGCGCTTCAGCCAGAGGCGGGACATTTCTCGCCCGCCCACGCAGCTTCGCCTCGCCCGCACGCACGGCACGCACGAACACGAAACCGCAACCGATTTCCTGGTAGGGGGGCTCTCCGTTCCACTTCGATCTCATCCCCTCACCTCCGATATGTATATATATATATGTATATATACATACACATACATATACATATACATATACATATACATATACATATACATATACATATGCATATACATATACATATACATATACATGTACATATACATATACATATACATATACATATACAGATACATAAACATATACATATACATATACATATACATATACATATACATATACATATACATATACATATACATATACATATACCTATACATATACCTATACCGAGACATATACATATACATATACAAAGACATACACATAGATACATATACATATATATACACATCGTATTTACAGATATGACATACGTTCGCCAAGAATCCGCCTGTAGGGGGGCATGCCCGACCTAATGCCTGGCAAGGTTACCGCAGTTCTCTGGGGGACCCCATCCACCCTCCCGGCCACGCCCACCTGACTGCGCCACCACTGTTACCGCGAGCCCCTGGACGGCCATGGCGCCACCCCCCAAGGCTTCCATGACGGCCCAGGAGGGCCCCAAGACGGTCCAAGCGGGCCCCGGGTCGCCGAACGATCGCTCGAAGACGCCCAAGATGGCCTGAAGATGGCCCACGAGGCTTCCAAGACGACCCAAGAGGCCCCCAAGAAGCCTCCCAAAAGGGCCCCGAGGCAAAAATCAATGATATCCCTTAAGTGTTTGAAAGATTTTGGCGTTCCCGCCTATTCGGCTTTCCGATGCTTCAAGACGGCCCAGGGAGCCCCCAAGACCACCCGGAAACGACCCCAAGAGGCCTCCAAGAGGGCCTCAAGACGGCCTCAGAGCGCCCCAAGACGGCCCAAGAGGCGCCCGAGACGGCCCGAGACGGCCCCAAGACGGTCCGAATAGGGGCCCAACAAGGGGAACATGAACCGAAAATCCGAGCCTTCTGCCCCGAGAGGCCCCCAGGAGGCCCCAAGAGGTGCTCAAGAGGCCCCAAGAGTCCCCAAAGAGGCCCCCAAGAGGCCGCAAGAGGCCCCCAAGAAGGCCCCCTAGAGGCTTCAAACTGCCTGCCAGAGGCCCCCAACGAAGGCCTCCCACGACATCCCAACTAACATCCAATAGGCTTCGGATCCACAACCCGGCCAGGGTGGCGGGACTTGCCGCAGGCAGCTGAATGAACATGCGGTTGGCTTTGGAAAGATAGCGTGCAACACCGATCTCCGAAAAGCACGCTATCCGTGTGAGGCGGTCCTTCCGCGAGGGCACCTTCTGCGCACACGTTATCCCCCTGACAGGGCTTCTTCAGTGCGTGTAATGACCAGGCCGGCGGCCCCACATCGCGCGCTACATCTCCAGGTCCAACAGTGCGCTTTCGAAGGTCCGCGTGGAACTCTTTGAGTTGCGCTGGACCCTCCTTTCTGGCGCGCAGGGCGAGCCAGGGGCGGCGCTGGAGGCGCCGCCAAGGGGATTCCACGCATGTCCAAGAACCCCGCGCGGACCTCCGTAAATACATGATCGTCATCGACCACCACCACCCTGCTCCTCCTCCCACTCCTCCTCCCCCTCCCCCTTCTTCCCCCTCCTCTTCCCCCTCCTCCTCCTCCTCCTCCTCCTCCTCCTCCTCCTCCTTCTCCTCCTCCCCTACACAATGAATTGCGTTTGTTGCTCCTCTGTCGCCCATGGGCGACTGCACCATCATGCCCCACGCGCGGCCCAGCCCGAGCAGCACGAGAGACCGCCCCGCGCCGCCCATTGGGGGAGGCGTTGGGTGCAGCGCGCCGCCCGGTCCAATAGTCTGGTATATATGCAGGTTCGTGAGTCAGGATACGGCTGCCATTTGGGTTCGGTCGGGCCCGTCCTCCTACAGGCGGACTCTGGAGGAAAAGCAAAATAGTCTCTCTCTCGCTCTCTTTCCAACAAACAAAGAAACACAAACACACACACACACACACACACACTACACACAACAAAAAGCAACAAATTATCCCGGCAAAGCAACCTAACAGCGATGTGTAGGAGCATATCTGGAAGCATTCCCCTTCAGATTCAGATGAGAATCCAGTTGTATAATTGTGCTGTTCTCGCAGTCGTAGTCGCATTCGCGATGACAGTCGCAGTGGCAACGGCAGTCACAGACACAGCCTCAGCCTCAGCCTGCCTCAGCCTCAGCCTCAGCCTGCCTCAGCCTCAGCCTGCCTCAGCCTCAGCCTCAGCCTCAGCCTCTCAGCCTTCAGCCTCGGCCTCAGCCTCAGGCTGCCTCAGCCTCAGCCTGCATCAGCCTCAGCCTCAGCCTCAGCCTGCCTCAGCATCAGCCTGCCTCAGCCTCAGCCTCAGCCTCAGCCTGCCTCAGCATTCAAAATGTGGCCCGGGAATGTAGTTCTGGGAACTCGAAGAACACGAAGTGGCCTACAGTTGGCTCCGGGCATTCAAATTCATGCCCAGGAATGCAGTTCTGGGAACTCGAAGACCACGAAGTGGCCTACAGTTGGCTCCGGGCATCCAAAATCTGGCCCGGGAATGGCCTACAGTTGGCTCCGGGCATTCAAACTCATGCCCAGGAATGCAGTTCTGGGAACTCGAAGACCACGAAGTGGCCTACAGTTGGCTCCGGGCATTCAAAATGTGGCCCGGGAATGGAGTTCTGGGAAATCGAAGAGCACGAAGTGGCCTACAGTTGGCTCCGGGCATCCAAAATGTGGCCCGGGAATGGAGTTCTGGGAACTCGAAGAGCACGAAGTGGCCTACAGTTGGCTCCGGGCATCCAAAATGTGGCCCGGGAATGGAGTTCTGGGAACTCGAAGAGCACGAAGTGTGTGACTGTTGCATCCGGCCCTCCAGAATGTGGCCCGGGAATGGAGTTCTGGGAACTCGAAGAGCACGAAGTGTGTGACTGTTGCGTCCGGCTATTCCGAATGTGGCCCGGGAATGGCGTTCTGGGATCTCGAAGAGCACGAAGTGTGTGACTGTTGCATCCGGGTATTGAGAATGTGGCCTGGGAATGGAGTTCTGGGAAGTCGAAGAGCACGAAGTGTGTGACTGTTGGTGAAAAACGAGCCCGGCACCTGCCGCCCGGCAACTCCCAACACCTGCCCGGACCCCCCTGTGGAGTGATCTGCTGCTCTCTTTTGATCCCACTAGAAACCTATCAGTCTTCGCTGTTAGGTAAAAAACTCCCCCGGTTACTGCTGTACCATTCTGGAATATCCTTCCTGTATGGGGACATGCCCGACTTAGCACTTGAGGGACCGACAGAGGGGTGGGGACGGGTCCCGTTGTCCCCAGGACTGCCCTGGGGGATGGGGGAGGGGGCATGCTGGAGAAGAAGGCGCAGACACCTGGGGGGGCAGGGGGGAGGGACAGAGGAGGAAGAGGAGAAAGAGGAAGAGATGGAGGAGAAGGCGGAGCAGGAGGAAGAGGAGGAGGAGGAGGCGGAGGAGGAAGAAGACTGGGAGGAGGAGGAGAAGGATTGTTTTTACCCGCGGTTTGCCAACCACCGTACACTATCCCCGCATAGAGGGTCTGGCAAAAACCTGGACGTGGCGCTTCCAGGCTTCAGCAAGAAAAACGGCGGCGATGAGAGCACACCTCAACAGCGAAAGACAGGCTGAAGAGAGCGAACAAGGCGCCATGGACGAGGGTGTGCACAGGTTCCCTAAGGGAGGAGCTGTGCCCAGAGACCCCCGTGCGGGTGGCCCCTGCAAGACGCGCGAGCCACGAGACTCGAGGCAGTCGAGCAGAGGCCGCGCCAGATCTAGTCAGATTCGTCTGCAGCTGCTCTGGCACTGGCATGAGAATCTGAGGCTGCGGCTCCAGCTGCAATGCATAAACGCTTGACCTTGGCCTGGAAAGCGCTCTCCTTGTCTTCCTGGCGGAGGGCCTCCACGACCGAACGAAGCCGTTTCACTGCAGGATCGGTGGAACCAGAGGACGCAGGCGGAGGGCCAGGCGTCGTCGGCGGGTCAACCGCAAAAAGACTAGAGCCGTCTAGAAAATTAACTCCCAACTGAACCACGAAACCCCTGTTCTTTGGGTGGCGGCCCTTACAAACCTGCTGCCATGCCCACGTCCCAAACTTGCCCGGAGGCGGGCCGCACCGGGAGTGGAGGCCTTGCAGACTACCGTGAGAGGTGTAGCATTTGCAACGCATGCAGACCACGAGCTCAGCACCGTCGCTGCAGGGGAACATGACACAGTTGTGATTGTACGAATTGAGACTTTCAACGCTGCACGCTTTCAAACCCGAACAACGTCCACGGAGGGGCTTGCTGCCGTCTCGCGGCCGTCGGATCTGGAGGCAATGCGCGCAGCGCCAGAAACCTTCAAAGCGAAACCACTTGTGCATCTGACCAACAGGCGGCGACTGTACAATAGCTTGTGGAAAATACCTGATGTCCTTTGAGGCTCTGAGAGCGGAGAACTCGGGGAGCAACTTGGCAGCAAGCTTGCAAGCGGCCCTGGCGAATTTCACACACTCGTTAGCTTCTTCCAGCACCTCTTCGTCGAGTGGATGGAGTTGGAGGGCCTCCTTGGACTCGACGTCGGCACAATGATTACCGAAACGACGGGCCAGGAGGAGGAGAAGGAGGAGGAAGAGGAGGAGGAGGAAAAGGGGGAGGAGGAGAAGCGAGGGAGGTCCAGCCCTCCGCGTGACTGCGAGCGGCCCCGGCGTGGGGGTGTGGAGGGGGGGGGGGGGGGGGGGGCACACCGGGGGGGCGGCACCTCTGGCAGCACAGAGCAGCAGCAGCAGCAGCAGCTGTACTAGTAGACCATGCAGGCGCTCACATGTGTATGTGGGGTGTCTTGACAGCGTAATTCTTCTGCCG